CCCGCTTCACGGTCCTCGCGTGGCGTTTTTTGTGGGGGCGCTGCGGTTGGACGCGGCCAAACAGTCCCTGGGCGTGACTTGCGCCGTTAGCCGCGGACAGATGCTTCCGGAGTGCGTCGCGGGAATCACAAGACTTCTCGCCAGCGCGTGCGGGGGGAGGTGTTCCTCTGCAACCTTTTTCCACCTTCCTTCGCCTGCAAGGGGGCGAATTCTTTTTTTCCCAGCGGGACCGACAAGGCTGCTGGGCCAGCGCCCCGCATACGCCGGGGGAGCCGCCACGACGCACGCCGCCTCCCCCCGCTCTCTCAGGGCTATTTCGCCCTCCCTCCTCCGGGCCCCGTCCTTTTCGCCGGGGCCGGGATCCGGCTGGGCGCCCGGCTTGCTGAAGCGGCAACTGCTGACCGCACACGGCCCGGGAGCAGAAGGGCCGCTTCGATACGGCGCGCCGCCCTCACGTGACGAACAGCCCACCTGACATGTTCGACCCGCAAACAGCAGGGGCATTTGAGGCGTTGCGGGCCCTCCGTCGCTTCGAAAGTGGGGAGTGTATTCCCGTATTTGCGGTGCAATGGAAATACGCGGCGGGAAGCGGTCCGGGTGAAGTTTTCGAGCATGCGCACGCGGGTCCAGCTGGGCGCCCACGCGTGTTTTGGAACGCACGGGCACTCGAAGCGACCAGGGTTGCCGCGAGAGAACTCAGTTCACCAAAGGAGCCTTTAGGGCGTGTTGGCTGCAGCAGTGAGCCTTTGCGCCAATTGAAGTGGAACTGCGCGCGGCAGCGCTTGCCACAAGCGGGGCATCGAAGGTCGAGGGCGCGCTGATGGCCGCGCTCTCGCGGCGGCGGCCGGGGTTGTGGAGGAGGCGCCGGGGTTCTCGCGTGCGGTGCGGTGCGGGCCTCGCGAATCGCACTCACACTTGGGGGGCGGGCCTATCGTGTGCTTCGTCGTCATGCGCGCACCCAAAACGCCCCTCCATCAGCTGTCGTGAAGCAACATTTCGTGCAGACGCCTGCGTGCCTCTCCGGCGCGTCCGCCAGGGCTCCTTTAGCCGCCCTTAGGGCCCGCGCCTCGCCGAGGCCACGGTGACTAATCGCAATGCGTGTTATCGCGCGGCTGAGCGCCTGGCGCGCAGGCCTTGAAGCACGCCGGGCAAAACAGTGCCTGGCACGCTGGGACTGCCGGTGGAACAGCCGGCGT